CGGTCGGTTACATGGGAGTCCAGCGACATAGCCATCACGCCAGCTGCTGGTCCCTAATCGGACAAGGTTTTAAAAGCTGGCGGGAGCAGCGGCCTCCAGCACCGTTTGCCACTTTTCTCAGAGCTGCTGAGCGCTGACACTGCGGTCCTCTCCCCTCCCCAGAGGAAAGCTCCTAGACTGTGCATCTATTCTTTCTTCCTGAGCCAATGACACATTAATTGTCATTGAAATGTTTGACACAGCTTCCCTGAAAGGTTTTGCAGCGAAGTTGTATACAGATATCCAGCTGTGCTGTAAGATTTGTGGGTGGGCACGGAAGCGGACTTTGGTGTTTATGCGCCGGGTCAGGGTGAACTCCGACCTGTCCCCACGGCCAGGCGCGCGGCATGGAGGCAGCGTGGTGTGTGCACAAGCATCGGCTCCTGGCCCCTGGAGGGTTTGCCTTTTGGAACTTCCTGCCCAGATGTGGCACACTGCACAACAGTCTGTAAAAAGCCAAAAATGCAGTGCTTATAACTCTGCTGGAGTGACCAGGAAAGAGATCGCAGCTTGACACTGCAGAGAATGGCGTATAAATAGAAAGTCGGGCAGAAATGTGTCCCAGGAAGCGTGCACGTTTGCACTGGGCCTTCTGTCCAAGCATCTCGAAGCCTCTGCCATGTCAGTCATGCATATGGGAGAAAACATTTAAAAATTAATCATCTCCTCCCTTTCCCCACTTCCTGCATAACGACTATTTCCTCCATGTGGAGCCAACGGTGCGGCTGAAGGCTCGGGGAGCGGGCAGCTCCCTGGGTGGGCCACTGCACACTGACCCGTGCACAGCGGCTCCAAGTGTGCCCCTTGGGCAGCCAGGCGTGCGCATGCCCGGACCCAGCACAGACCCCCCGGTCAGTAACGCGGGAGGCGCTCGCAGCTGGGCTTTACCCGTCTTCCGGCTGACTCAGGCAGGGCTCGAGTCCAGCAGCCAGGGGTACAGACTGTTACAGACGCAGTTTTCATCGTGTAACTGAAGCGTCTTCGGCTACGGTTTTCCTTTCCCTTTTCGTTTGTTCGCGGGAGACACGAAAACCTTGAAGGAGACTGACTGGTAACCGGAGCACTGCAGTGTAATCAAGTGAAGTCAGGGGGTTCATGACTGGAGGATGAGAAGCTCGCCTGGGTCTCTTCTAGTCCCCTGCTATTCCAGCTGCCTCAGAGTACCAGGGGGCTCGTGGGGCTGGCCGTGCCCTGCGAGCGAGGTGGCACAGGTGTGAGAGCTGCAGGGCAGCCTGGGACGAGCCCCCTCACTCCAGACCCTGAGCCCCCGGCAGTCGCCGGCTGTTTGGCATGTGTGCAGTGTCCCCGCGCTCCCTGCCCTTAGGTCTGCAGCTCACCTTCTCCCTGCTGCCCTGCATATCCTGCTCGTCCTCCAGGTGTCCACCCCTGCCTCATCTGCTCCGTGGAACCCTGGCCCGTGAAGAGTCCTGCTCGCCCCCGGTGTTCCCCAGCGCCTCGCGTAGGGCTCCACATTACTTTTCTCAT